TGAATTTGGCCCACGTTCTCCCTGAATTTAGGAAATCTACAGATAAAGGGACACGGTGGCTCAGTGGCTAATATGCTAAGCTTGTCGATCAGAAAGGTCGACAGTTTGAATCCCTAGCACTGTGTAAAGGAGTGAGCTCCCATTACTTGTCCCAGCTTCTGCCAACCTAGCAGTTCGAAAGCATGTAAAAATGCAAGTAGAAAATAGGAACCACCATTCTGTGTGCCTTCAGCGTTTAGTCATGCCGGCCACATGACCACGGAGACGTTTTCAGACAGCGCTGGCTGTTTGGTTTGAAACAGAGATGAGCACTGCCCCCTAGAGTCAGGAACGACTAGCACATATGTGCAAGAGGAACCTTTACCATTATCTTTACCTTACATATTCTATTCTTAATCCTCACCCCTTTTTTCCCAACCACTGAAAGATATGCAGATTTCCACTCCCAGAATTCCCAGGTCAGATGCGTACTCTCTCTTTCATTCTACTCACATGGAAAACTTCAACAGAATGATTGATCATGAAAAGAGCTTTACTTTTAACTTAGCGTAGACATTTTTTTTTCCCTTAAGTAATTTTCTACCTCTTATTTTCTTCAAAACTTTGGCCTTGGCTACCAATTGGGGTTACTTGAAGATACTAATCCAATAAGCAACCACTTTATTAGTCAAGCAATAATTCTCTTTTATGAGAATTAGGATTATCCATGTATTGCAGGCTACGCCAATGACGGCAAACCTTTTTGGCACCAAATGCCGAAAAGGCCGCGTGGAAACATCGCATGCGCCTGTGCGTGCTCGTCGGGGCTGCACTCCGGAAAAGCCGAACTTCCAGGTTCTAGCGCACATGCACGCCCAACGATCAGTTGGCTGGCACGCATGTGCAGGCCGTTTTTTGGCATTGCCACGCATGCGAAGGGATCGCACTCCAGAAAGGCTGAACTTCTGGGTTCTGGCACACATGGGCATCCGACAATCTGTTGCCTGGCAGATATGCGCACACTGATTTTCGGCACTGCCACATGCACGCTGGACAGCTGATCATCATGCACATCAGAAATCCGGAAGACAAATAGGCAAGGCTGCACATGCCAGGCAACATGGCTTTGCATGCCACTTTGGACACACAGGTTCACCATCATGGGCCTGCGCACTATTAATACAGCAACAATGGTAGAAATAATGTGGCCCAACCAGATGTTTTTTGGGGGTCTGGGTCTTCCTGGTGTCCTTCAAATGAAGAATTTGTACCGACCACTGATGATATTAGCCAGTTTGGAAAATCCGCAAGACGACAACCAAGCTCAGAGAGAGGGCCAAAGACTCTTCATTTCAACCCTGACCAACAAATATTCCCCTTTATTGGTCATTTGTACGGAGGAGTGGTGCGGTGGAGCTCTTGCCTCACAATCAGGAGGCTGTGAGTTCAAATCCTAGGTAGAGGCAGATATTTCTCTCTCTGGGCACACTGGGAATATATTTGCTGAACAAAACCCTGCATTGGCGACAGGAAGGGCATCTGGCCATTAAAACATTCTGCTGACTCCATTCAGTTGCTCAGAGTCCACCCTGCGAGGGATTATGGGGTCGCTAAAAGACGACCATGATGTTGATTGGTAATTTGTGATAAGCTGATAAGCATCCGATTTACAGGAACCAATCAAAGTCATACTTGTTTTATTCTGGCTGGAAGTAGATTCTGAGGGTGCAAGCAGAGTCTCTTGTCAGCAAAGAAAACCAAGGATTATTTAGAGGTGCTGCTAACCTTCAGATTCTCCCAAACAAACTTGCTGAACCATCTGCACAATTGTCCTCAAGGGGAATGGGGACTTTAGGAAACTGGATTTGGAAGTCAGTAGTAAACAAACAAACAAACAAACAAACAAACTTACTCTTATTTTTCCTAGCCAGAAGATCAGCTTGTTCCCAGAAGTCGTAGGCGTACAGAATATAAGAAGTGATGTTAACGAAGGAGGAGGTGATGGTTGGGATATAATGAGGGACGCTGACTGAGGAGCCGAGACTGCTACTTCCACAGCTGCTGGCACTGGAACCCGTCTGGGAGCTGACTGAGCCAGCCGGAGAAGGGATCGGGGAGAGTGGAGAAGGGGTGCCAATGCCCCTGAAGGAGGAAACACAAGTGGGCACTGCATTACATTCAATAAACACACAACGTAGAACCAGACATTAAAAAGGGATGAAGTCTAAGGAGGAGGCATGAACAAATTAAAGGGGGGCGGGGGGGGGGGAAATAGCTGAAAAGGATTTCTAACGGGTGAAATCCAGCAGGTTCTGACAGGTTTTGGAGAACCGGTAGTGGAAATTTTGAGTAGTTCAGGGAAGCAGCAAATGCCACCTCAGGCAGGCCCCAAGTGGGGTAGGAATGGAGATTTTGCAGTATCCTTCCCCTGCCACGCCTACCAAGCCACGCCCACAGAACCGGTAGTAAAAAAAAAATCGAATTTCACCACTGATTTCTAACCTTTATTTCCAACAAGGGGCTAAAAGAGGAAACGAGCGTGCCCGATGGCCAATGCATGCTGACTACTGGTGATCAACCCAAGGAGGGAAGGAAAATGGAGGAGGAATTTTGAGGGAATACAGACAGTCCTCTGGTTGATTGTCCTCCAGCGACCATTCAAAGTTGCAATAGGCACTGAAAAAGTCCTCACACTTATGACTGTCACAGTGTCCTCACAGTCACACGATCAAAATTTGGGCACTTGGCAACAGGAATGTACCGTATTTTTCGGAGTATAAGATGCACCAAGATTTTGAAGAGGCAATTTTTTAAAAAAAAAAGTTTTTGCACTCTGCCAAAAATGGCCGGTTTTCTTTGCCAAAAGAAGGGCATGCATACTTTAGGAGGCTGATGGAGTGCTCCTGGGAGCTGGGGGGCAAAAATGAGCAAAAAATGGCCCTTTTTTTTCTCTTTTTGGCCCTTCCCAGCCCCCAGGAGCACTCC